AGAATAGTATATAAAAAATTCTATGATTCCATTAAAAAAAAAATTAAATTGACATCCATATCTCATTGACGTGTAATCTTACGAACAAACTAATTACATTGGATTATTTCATCCATAAATTTCGTATGAAACATTTTTTTAAATGACAAAACAGTTTCAAAGATACAAGCATTTTTTGACTAAAATGGAACACCTTATATAATTCGTTCCATCAGTAATATTTCTTTATTTCCCTTCATTTTCAAGATTATTTGTTTATGCACGCTACTAAAATGTTCTTTAAAGTTAACAGCACTTATTAAGTTCTTTTCCAATTTATTTTACTTTATGAAGACCATTTCATAAGTCGCACTTTCATAAAATTAATTACTTATGTGTATATACAGTTAGTCACATAATTAAGCGTACACGTACCAACATCAAAGTACGCTTATTCAAAATAATAGAATAACCTTTTAATGTAAATAATATATTCTTTTCAATACCAAAGGAATTAAGAAATACGTGAATAATATAATGAATATATTTATATTCATTTATAATATTAATTAATTTAATTTATTAATAAAAATGAATGATACATATATTTCTATTACACAAAATTAGACGTATGAATAATACATTATATAAGAAAGATAATACTTTGATCCTTTTGTTAAACAATTACAAAACACATATCAATAGGAAATATTAATTTAAATTAGTAACTAATTTTCCAATAAAAATGTTTATTTATGTTCGTTTTGTGAACGCATACACAAAATAATACACACTACATAGATACGTTGTGTCATATGACAGTTCTTTATTAACAAATTATAAAATCGATGCAACAAAATATCAATTTTAGGATATTCCCAACTGGTTCGCTCAATGTGATCTTAATGCCCACTTGCAAACGTAAATGAGAACAAAAAACTGGTACTACAACATTTTTTCAACAATATAATTTAAATAATTACTTCAATCTTCTTCTTGCGTTATTACAAAGTAATTTTTCTTCGCAATCTATCTTCGCAATTTGTTACGTATGCATGGGCTTTCATTTGAAAATGCGAAATAATTTTAATGTAAAGCGCATTAATCGCCAAGAAAAATAAGATTGACGTATATGCAAAACAGATCACGTAACGTTACCTATATTTGGCACAAAAACCCATTCGTGTATTCGTAAAACCATACGAGCAGCAAAATAACAAACCAATATTACGCGGACGTATCTTTCTTTTAAATAAAAAAGAAAAATACTCGCCATAAAAGGGGTTAAAGTAAAAGAAGGATATGCATGGAATGCATATCATTTGCATAATGTAGTATAAAACATCTATTTCAGGTTTCCATTCTATTGTAAGATTTTGAGATTGAAAATACGTATTTTTTGCGTCCTTTGAATGCAAATAAAACAATTATAAATATGTATGTAATAAAATATACACCTCCACGCTTTTTTAAATATGTATATTAATTTACGTAAACAGAAATAAAGTAACAAATACATTTTCAAGTAGAAAATCTGGTTACCATATCGATGAACATATATGTTGTACATTTTGTAATTTTACTTAAAACATAACGGCTTGTTGAATTCATTTGTGTGAATAGCTAATATGTCATGTTTTGTAATCGTCTTTCCAAAAAGAACAGTTTGTTGATGAATATTTCCTTAATTATATACATTATCGTGTAAGTAATGATCGATCAATGAAATTAGGAGAAGGTAATTTCAAAAGACAAAAAATAGTTTTACGCTTTAATAGTTTCCCTTTTCTCATGTTTCGTGTAACAGTTACAAAGTATTAGCGTGATTGAAGGAAAGAAAATGTAGTTTATAGAGACGCATAGTGGGGGAAAGCTACCGTTCTCTTACCAGAGTAATTTCCTATTCTGAGAATTATAATTTACAATCAAATAACGGAAATGACACGGTTAATACACTTTACTGGATCCATTTCATTAAACTTAACGTGTTCATTGGGCAGTCTGAACGGACGCATATGAAATTTACGAGGACCGTTCGTGACTAAAAA